CTGATGTTCTTATTTATTAAGTATGAATCTATACTTCTCTGTTCTAAGAACTATTCACAGTGAAAACTTAAAGAGTAGTTCAAAATAGTTCAATACAAACAGTTACTGTTTTATTTAAAAATGATTATTATATTGTATTGAATAATTTCTAAGGCTCATAACCGTTCTCTACTCTCTTAAGATCTAGTTTACTCTTCCAAGACTGTTAATGATACTTATAATAATAAATATTTACTACATGGTCTAGACGCATGATCTTTATAGGCCTAACAGGGCCTGTCGTATAATCATAGGCCTTACAGGGGGCCCACAATTTGGCCCTATTTCTTGCTATGTATGTATATATATTTATATAATAGTGTGCTGAATAGCGTTAAAATGAGGAAATTCGAAGTCAATATTCTGCATTACAACACGTCTGCCCTTAATATTGACCCATAATATTCAAACTGGACAGGACATCCCCAACACATACGACAGGACGTCCCCGAATTGCAACAAAACCACTTTCACTCATAACACTAAATTTACCTATTAGTAATATGCAAAATATGGTTTCTCTTACTCTTTTGTGGCCAAGGCAACTAGAACGTTTCTTAATGTGGATTTCTAATATATCCGCAAATGCAAACAATAATTTTGTTTTCGTTGGATAGCTAGGGTCTCTTAAATCACTACAGTAGAGATATTCCGTCAGTTTATAAATGGGAAACGGTTATAATCAAGTTCAGCCTTGTTAAAAACTAACGCATTAAATAAAAATAGAACTAGATTCAATCACATTCTATGTCGGTAAACAACCAGCAGCACATAGATTTGTCCTTATATCCTAACTCACGTGACGTTGAGAGAGTTCTCATCTTTTTTCTGATCTAAAGTCTAACTTGCAATCGGAAAATATTCTAATTTGATTCAGTTTTATTTGTTACTTCAAATATACAGAATGTGTATATTTAAAACTTATGTACTTCATCTCAATATACCTTCAGTTTTACTTTCAAAAATATTTTTTTTTTTTGATTTATAATTCACAAGCTTAAAACTAAATATGAAGAATGAGTTGCGAGGAAAAAAATGAAATAAATTTCAAAAAGGATTAATAAATAATCTATTCATACTTTCACAAGAAAAATATGATGTTTGGTGAAGTTCACATCATTACGAAAGGAAAGAAATTGAATATTTTTTTCTTTTAACATACCCGATTAAAATTAGATATTTGCGGTGATAAATGAAACAAGTATTTATTTTATTTTGCTCTCTGAGGCATTTAATGAAATAAAAACTTTCAATATGACAGGAAGGATTTTTTTTTTCCTTTTATTTAAATCTATCTATAAAAGTGTAAAAACATATGGTATATTTATTCTGATTTTTATTTCAATGTTACAATATATAATTTATATTTTTAGCAGAAATGAAAAATAAATTTAATGCATTAACATTTAATCTCAGATTTCATGAAATTATTTTTTATTATTACTGTTCTCTGCAACACAAAAACGTTTTAATAATGTAAACTTATTTACTGTTTTTTTTATTGTTATTCATTTCATGAGGAAGAATAGTTAAATTTTGATAAATTTTATTCGATAAATTCGCGTATTGTAATAATAAAAACTATCTTTTTCTTTCATTCAAAAAACATTAAAAATATATAAAGTACATATTTATTTAAGTGATAAAAAAGGTGCATTTTAGTAAATATTGTTGAGCAATCACAAACTAATTTTATTTTAAATTATTGTGAAAAATTATAAAGCCTTGAAACTGCATTGTGAAAATTATATTTTCGCAATTTGGAGCAATAGGGATCATATTAAGGAAAAAAACCAACTTAGTAACTTTAAACATAATGAATTTTTACATTAGTTACAGGTAGTTTAAAAAATTATATTCAATTTATACTACTTTAAGTATAACTAAATGTATGTTACCACCATTTATTTGTAAGGCTTTGCAGTTTCTTTCCAAAATAATTTATAAAAACTATTTGTTGTGTTTGTAACAGGATCGTAAGACGTATATTTTTATTTATTATGCTTATTAACTAATCATGTATCCCCTAAGACGTAAATTAAATCCGAAACAATAATGAATTTTTTATTTTCATTAAAAGTCGCTTAAAATGTATTTAGTTTTCAATGTTTGTATTTTAACTATGTGTTGTAAAATTCTGAAGTTTCTCTGCGAAGTAACTCATGAAAACTATTCATTGCATTTGTAACAGGAAATATGCAACACATAAGACGTATCTTTTAATTAATTGTTGGTGTTAACTAATAATGTATCACATAAAATAGGAGTTATTAACGTTAACAATAACGAATTGTTTAAACTAGTTATTAGTAGTAAAAAATATAATGTTCGCTTTTAATGTTCGTAATATAACAAAGTGTAATAAAATTAAACAACTTTTCTGCAAAGTAATTCATGAAAGCTATTTATTACACTTTACTTTAAGAGAAGTATATTTCAGTTAATATTAATTTAATATCTAGAAACATTGCTTTAATTATTAAATATAAATAATATTTTTTTGAGATTATTTTTATGAAATGATAACTCTAAATAAAATGTAATATAAATATTGAATTATATATAAAATGTAATTCAGTCAAAAATTAAGTAAATTCCCAAGAAATATAATATTTTTGGAAGAAATTTCTATTGAAAAAATAATCTTTAATTTGACTAATTAGAAAAGCGTAATATAAGCTTAGTAAAAGTAAAAAAGACCATACCCACTAATTTCAATATGTGAACATTGGATTAAAAAGATTTACGTGGAGGATTTAATAAAAATGTCATTTTTTCTATTAATCAATACATTACGATTTGCTCACAATTTATTACTATTTTTTTTATAATTTTTTAATACAGTATGTAATTATAAATACATAATTACAATAATATAATATAAATATGTAAATATGTAATATGTAATTACATGTAATTAAAATGTAATAATGTAATTATGAACAAAACAAAAAGATAAGTATTAGTTTAGTAACTAAGTTAGCACCATTTTTTTTTACTCTTAAAATGTTTAAAGCGTGGGAATATTTGATTTTCTCTGCCAATTCTCCGCTGTTTGTTACTAATTTTTGCGTAAATAGTTACTCTTCATCAAACTTAATTACAGATTCAAAACAAGAGGCGTCTATGAGGTTAAATTTCAATTTTAAAAATCGGGACACCCGTTCTTTCAGCTATGGCTCCCTCCCCAACAACACAAGTGTCACGAGCAGCTTTGACTGTCTTAAAACCATTTTGAAAGCAAAAAGAAGGAAGTGCCAAAAATTCTCAGTTTTCCCAAGTTATTATTACATTTTAATGATATGAAAACCAACATAAATCAACTCGATCAAAAAAAAGCATAAATTATGGTAGAACAAAACATCTTTTATGAATAATTCAAAACAACATTATGACAAAAGCATTTAAGGCCTTGCGAAATGCTTTTAAACTACAAAATCGGAGCTATTTTCATCAGACTAAAAATGTGATTAAAATAGAGAATAAAAACTAAAAGTTTTTAATTGATATTTGATAGTGAGAAAGACAGTACAATAAATGATATTGTAGGTCAGAGAAGGTGTTCTTAGCTGAAAAAAAAATCAATAACTACCCACATAAACTGTCTGTAATATGTGAAATATTCTTCATTGATAATAAATTTAATCGATATAATGTATAGAAGATCTACTTCTTGTTCAAGTAGTTGAAACTCTCTCAAGAGATGTTTAAACATGATGGCGAAAAGCTATTATAAGCAAAACATTTTTTTCTAGATTTATCACATTGCACAACTTATTTTTAATAAGTACTTGAACTCTTTTTTAATGAGAATCTTTCAAAATAATTACAAGAATATTTTTTTTTATTTTTTATAAAAGCTCCTGAAACTACAAGTTTCAAATTTATGATGCGAGGCTTAAAAACCTTAATTAAAAATAGCTGAAGTAGCTGCTAAACTAGGTTTCCTTTGTAAAGTCTCGATTTTCACATCACCGATACTTATTATTTTTTTATTTTTTCAAAGTAGTTTGGTGTTTTGAATAAAATGCCTCATTAATTTTTTGTGTAGCATTAAATTGATTTCAGGAGGAATTACACGTTTTTAATGCATATTTTAATCGTAAATTAAGAGTATTAAAAAAATGTTTAATTGTGTCATTGAATTAAAGAGTTGTGATATGAAACACTTGGTTTCAAAATACGATTTCCCTAACTTTTTTTTTTACACTGATTACCTAGAAAGAAAATAGCCATATTTCGATAACGTTTACTCCTTTTTTCCCCAGTTAAAAAATGACAATATTTGTTCTTACAATTTTGTTTTTTACGAGAATCTTAAAAATAGACTTTAACACTCGGATGTCCAAGTGAAGTCATTAAGTGACCCTAACGCTAATTTTGAGTGAATATTTCATTTTCAAAAAATTGTAGCGCTTTTAATATTTTTATAGTTTCTAATATTTAATATTTTTCTAACATTTAATATTTCTCATATTCTTGATTCATTTCATGATAAAAAAAATATTGAATTAAAATGTTAAATTTTAATATGGGGTCACTAAATGTCCCCACATGGTTTAGTCTGGTCATCCAAAGTTAAATGACGATGATTATGGTGCACACGACATAAATATTTTGTATTTGTTTTCTTATGGTATATCGATGGCACATTCGTAAGGCATTGAGTTGTCAGTGTTCGACCGGGATTCTCACTTCTGATTCTACCCAGCTTGAGATTCGTTGGTTTCAATTTTTACGTGAAATAAAGACTGCTAGTGTGCAATTCTGACTATATTGTTACCATCATGGTGTTGGTGTCAAAATTGTCGAACCATAATCTTAATCAACAATTGGCTGTTTCGGGAATGTTTTAATTGTTTTACTTCGTAACGATACCTATATTAAGCAATTATAGAAGTAATAGCAATATCAGAAAGCAATAGCAGTAAAATTATAAATACTTTTTTGTCATTTTGCAGATGTACCCCCATATCTTTTGTCCGCTTTCCCGGACACAACCGTCCACGCTGGTGAGAGGGTCAGTTTGAAATGCGTGTCAGCTGGCAACTTCGTTCCAAGAGTGATATGGACACTGTATGACCACGAACTCAGCTCGTCTCAAAATCCCAGGATCAGAATCGGAGATTTTATTTCAGCTCAGGGTCACGTGACCAGTTATTTGAACATAAGTGACACACGCGTGGAAGACAGTGGTGTGTATCGTTGTGATGTCAGCAATGATGTTGGAGCTGTGTGGCACGCTGCAAAACTCAACGTATACGGCCCACCATTTGTCAGACCTTTTCCAAATGTATCAGCCGTATCAGATCAAACCCTAGTTCTCAACTGCCCGGTTGGAGGATATCCAATAAAGAGCATTGTTTGGCAAAAAGGTGAGATGCAAAAGTATTTACTCCTAGGAAAAAAAATTTGCATGGCTAAAATAATATTATACATTGTGTATTTTATTACATTCACTTTAGTTTTTCAGAGTTATCAACACATCACTAAGTAATGTAATTTTTTTGAAATGTTTATGTTGTCAAAAATTATCTAATACAAAAATATGGTATCATTATGTAGAAGAAAAATACTAATAACAATTGAAAACAAGCTGCTAAGTCATATAAAATTATTTAAAAAAAATTCATCTATGATCACCTATCACGTTCCATCGAATCGATTCTCAGATAAGCTATATCGTTTTTCTACCCTGGATTGCATTCAATACAATTTTGATGCACTGTATCGTCAGTTTGGGCAAAGATGCAGTGCCTGAGGTATCTGACTAGCGCCAAAACATTATTTTGGCAAAATTTTCGAAATTGAGTATATTTTAAATTTAGAATCCCAGTATTCTTAGCTTTCAAAAAAATATTTTACTTTTGTTTGTACTCTAATTATGTACAAAGTTATGTCAGCCTTTGTGCAAGATGGTAATAGAGGATAGACTAATAATTTTAAGTCTATAAAGGCATTAATCTCAAAATTTTATTTTTTTCACATTTTGCACCACTTTGAACATGATATCTCATTTTGTTTTTAAAATAATTGTATAAAATTTTTCATGAGTGTTTATGATTATAGCACTACAGACGGAGAGGAAAAAGTAGAATTTCATTTTTTATGCTTGTTTTTTCACAAAGACAAGTACGGATACTTTAAAAAATTGCTTTTTTAACTACATTGATTCCTACTTCAGTAGTATATGCACTTGTTTTTAAGATAACAGTTCAAAACATAATTGATGCCCTTTTAAATAAAATCCTTAAAGTTTTTATTTTTTGTTTTAGGTGATAGAAATTCTTTTACAGTGTTTCAGTCTTTTTACACATCCAAAAAATGTCTTATTTTTACCTATAAACATGAAAAGAAAAATAATAATAATTATATTTTTTGGCTAGTTTTATAAGTTCTTACACGTAATAAAACAAATAAACTAGTTTTTTTTTAAATCTTATATTGTTATTTAAGAATAAAAAACTGCTGAAACCAGTCGGATACATTAAAACAAATACTGGTTTAAAGTTAACAGTGTCATTGCTATCTGAATACCTGCTCTTCTTTCGGGGTAAAATAAAGTATATAAAAGTATTGTTCAACACAATGTAATCATACACAAAACTGGACGGCATATACTGACACAATTAATAAGGCTAAAATAATTCTTAGCTATTTGTTACCTTTTCCGGCAATGTTACATTATTAAATTAATCAGAATACACTTTTAGAAATTTACTGATTTAAACTAAAGATTAACTATAATAATTATTATTAATCTTAATTTTATTCCCGCGACCAACCCGTGGTAATAAAAATTTACTATTAGATTCAGCAAAACATTTTGACCTAAATAAAGATAAACTATATTCAATATTAGTCGCCTTAATGCTGTTTCGTTTCCACAATCAAGCAATTTAAGCCAAAAGTTTTGCTTCTTAGTACAACTTAATTATTTTTTTATTACGATTTCTGCTGTCTTCAATTTATTTCTTAGCATAAATAAAAATCTACTGACAGTGTCGCAGTTTTCCATGGTTGTGCGAGCATTTTTATTGGACTGAAAATCACGTAGTAGGATCCAACTTTTCCTCAGTTATTTCCATATTGTTTCGGCACAAAAAATTCCAGTATAAAAAATAATAAAGTCAAAGAGGGATTGTTTTTCAATAAATATTTCTGTAGCCCTAATTTCAAGTTATTTTCCTGTACTTCTATTATTACGTTTTCAACTCAAGAGTTTAAAACTAAGAGAAATGTTTTTTTGCTAATTAATATTATAATGTAATCCTGCGCTGCATTTTAAGATAAAGTTATTTAGAAAGGTGGTCCAATCTTATTAACCACATTATAATTATTGTTGGGCAAAAAACATTAATACACTGTTATACATTACAGTTGATGATATCTGTTTAATGATTTAGAACTTATCGATCAACTTCATGCACAGTGAAGTGCAAGTAAAAATAGTATTTAATGCATATAGGCTATTTTGGTAAGCAAAATTATTAAATTACGGTAGTGAACTCATCAAATTTGTTTAAACAATATAATGTTATAACAATATAAATTTTATTTTAAAGAATAATTGTTTACAAGAACTACTTCTGTTCACCCAATAGATCTAAATAATATTTGCTAATATAATACTAATAGATAATAATATTTGCTCTTGGGAAGTGGAGGTAAGAGCGTGAGCAAACAGAATTCCTTTTATTACATATATGTTAATTGAATAATGTTAACTTTAGTAAAAAAACTGTTTTCGACCAAGAAACAACAACTATTGCAAAGCAATCATCGGGAGTGGTGAGTAGCAGCCAACATGTTACCCCCTTACCAACATGTTACCCTTTGGCCTTACCCCCTAGTAGTTTTGTATAAATTCATCTCAAATGCGTAGCGATAAACAAAACAAAATACATGGTTTAAGGTAACTTTAGAAATAGTAATTAAATAACGTTGTAATCACGTGCCATCCACGTTTATCGTTAAACTTATGTGAGATAATGAATAGAAAACAATTTATTATTAAAGAATGCTGAATAAACTTCATTTTTCATTAGGCCGATCTTTTATCTAGCAAACATCACGTTACTGTTTAAACATAAGTGATAAAACCTTTGCGAATTCAATTTGTGACAATGCCGAATGCTAAAATACTGCGAAAAATTCATTTTTCCTCCTGAATGAATGAAATACTTTTTTAAAATTATTTTTAGTATCAGGAGCTGAAATTGTAACTCCAGTCTGAATTCAAATTGCTTTCTAGGTGGTTTTGTTTGAAGTGTTCATTAAATTATATACAGCGACACAATTTCAAATTCTAACACGATATCGATATTGATGAAAATTCAATTATAACCTCATAAATTTTTATCTAATTGAAATGCGCTTGTGGTAGCTTTCATTAGTAATTTTTAAACAGAAATGTATAATGAATGTTTTAAATTGTAACAACAGTCTAAATTTCAGCAGAGTTAAAAGAGAGTTTCCAGATAGTCTCCAATTATTTGTCACCTCAGCAATTTTCCTCCCAGGTAATTGATCTCATGCAAAATTATTAGGTCATGATGTTAAATTTGAAGAAAAAAAACGACACATTCGATGTGAAATACCACTTTTCAGCGTTGGAAATAAAATCGAAACAAGTTAAAGATATTCTTTTGTGAATGGTCAGTGCTTTATATGAAATGCTTTTATGCATGAAAAAGAAACTCTCGAAATTAATTAGGCATAATTTAAGGCAAATTGTTTTGCCTCTATGTTTGTTTTAATCACAAAACATTACATTGATTACGGAAAATTATAATACAATCAGGTTCGGAATTTTGCTGGCATTGTTCTTAGAATTTGATTTCTTTTTGTGGACTTCTCTGCCATTTAAAACATTCATTATACATTTTACCTTAAAAATTACTAATGAGCGCTACTACAATCACATTTCAATTGGATAAAAATGTATGAGGTAATATTTAATTAAATTTTAATCAATATCGATAGAGTGTTGGAAAATTAAATTGTGTGAGTGCATGTAGTTTAATGAACACTTCAAACAAAACTACCTAGACAGCAATTTTTATTGTAAAGTACCATTTTCTATCAGTGTAACCAAATATAATCGCAAAGTTTTGTTTTCACGCATGATAAAAAGAACACTACACGGAAAGTAATTTGCGAAATAATCACTTTTCTAATCACTCTCGAAAGAAATATTGAAATAAAAAGAAATAGTTTAAAAAAGAAAATTGATATTTTCAATCTAATTTATGCTGATTTTAATGGCGCAAATTGAAACTTAAATTTCCTTTACGTCATTATGCAGGAAAACAGGATGACCTTTTCAGCGTTTGGGAGATAATAAATTAACTTAATTTTCTCCCATCCCTCCCTCCATGGGTCCCACACGTAGAGACCCAACTTTAAGCTGATTAGAGGAAGTTCTAATTAAAGGCAAAAGGGGTCCCGACAGGACGCTTAGAGCTCAAGTTCAGCTCGCTTTTCAAGATGCAGAGTTAGCGCGTTTCGAATAGGGAAGGGATTTTGGCGCAGGAAGGCGATTAGAGAGAGAGAAACGGGCATTTGGGGAAGGCTTATTTGGCGACTTCAATGAATGTACGTCGATCAGAGAGACTTGAGAAAGGATTAGAAAACGTATTCTAAGTTTCACTCAGTTTCTAATGAAGGAAGTTTTAGGATTCCTTTAATGAGTTGCAGTGCTACTTATTACTTGCGAAAGGCAACTAACTGATGGATTCACAAATATAGGCTAGTTTCTACTATGTTAGCAACACTTAAATCTGTTTCTCGTAGGCTCTATCATCCTACAATGCCAGGAAAAAAAATGTAAAAAAGCAAAAAAAGGAAGGAAAAAAAAACAGAAATTTTCTGTAAAAATACAGAAATCGTCTGTAAGATTTCATCTCATTCTGCCGAAAGCTCATTTTTTGCCCATGATTCAACCATGACCAAACACCTAGTCTCGTTTTCCTGGCTTCAATCTTTGAGCGTTTATGGTAGGAATGCAACGTAATTTTAATCCTTGTCAGAAGACAAGGACAGTGCCTGAGCTGGTACTACTTTCTCGAAACTAACACAGCGCAACAAGCGTCAGGAAATCTAGTCACGACAAATTTAACTTGTTTTTGCTTCTTATACACGGTGGTTGTTTTGTTGATTATCGGGATCAAACTCTCGACATACAGTTCTCCACCACAAGTGTGAACTATGCCTTATTATACGGAGATATCCGAGGGCTTTTAAACAATGGAACAGATTTTACTTGATAGGTTCAAATTTTTTTTGTTACGATTACAAAAAACTTTCATATCAACAGCAAACCAGACATTTTTACATTGTTCTCACATAAAGCAAAAAAACGAAGTTACATTGA